GACTATATAGTATGGAAGTAGCATTGAATAAGGGAAGGAAATAATATAGCTTTTATTTATTTATTTATTTTTTTACAAATAGTTTATTGTCAAGTTAGTTTCCATATAACACCCAGGGCTCATCCCTAAAAGTGCCCTCCTCCATGCCCATCTCCCCCCTCCTTGCCACACCCATCAGTCCTCAGTTTGTTCTGATCATTCAAGAGTCTCTCATGGTTTGCCTCTCTCCCTCTCCCCCACCATTCACCCCCTTCTTCACCCCCATGGTCCTCCGTTAAGTTCTTCCTAATCCTCCTATACGTGCAAACATATGATATTTGTCCTTCTCTGCCTGACTTATTTCGCTAAGCATAACACCCTCAANTCCTCCTATACGTGCAAACATATGATATTTGTCCTTCTCTGCCTGACTTATTTCGCTAAGCATAACACCCTCAAGGTCCATCCATGTTGCTACACAAGGCCAGATTTCATTCTTTCTCTTTGCCATGTATAGATAAACCGCCTTGTATAGATAAACCACATCTTCTTGATCCATTCATCCTTTGATGGACATTTAGGCTCTTTCCATGTTTCGGCTATTGTTGAGAGTGCTGTTATGAACACTGGGGTACATGTGCTCCTATGCATCAGCATTCCTATATCCCTTGGGTAAATTCCTAGCAGTGCTATTGCTGGGTCATGGGGGAGTTCTACTGTTAATTTTTTGAGGAACTTTCACACTGTTTTCCAGAGGGGCTGCACCAGTTTCCATTCCCGCCAACAGTGTAGGAGGGTGCCCATTTCTTTTAAATCTGAAAGGCACTTTCCTTTTTCTTCTCTTACTCTTATAGTCCTTCAAAATAACAATGGTTCTGATGCATTTACAATCATGACATAGTTCAGAAAGTTGTCTCTTCTTATGTTTTACATAGATAACCAATGAATAGGATAACTACATCTGGAATCTGGATAGAGAACGAATACAAAATGTAAATGTTTCCTGTGTAAACATCTGGAACTTATTTTACTGTAAATAATACCACACATTCATTTTTCTTTGGCTGGTTCTCTTCCCTGGGAGATGTTATAGAAATCAATGAAATCTCAGAATATTTTCTAGACTTACTAAATACTCAATACAAGAGATACTCAATAATCATTCAGGAATTTTTGAGAAACAACACCCGAAGTTTTTACTATGCCAGCTTTTCATCCATACCATTCTTCACTGGTCTGCCTGGCTCTGCTACTTTTTATTACTTAGATGTATTCCTGCTACATGCAATTAATCTATTTCATTGTGTCTTTTCGCAAGTGTTTCTGCTCTAATAGCTATTAATTGATCTTACGTGTGATCTTACTAATAATGCATCCTTTAATATTCTTAACTTCAGTATTCAAAATTAATTCAACTTGCAAAATTTAAATAATTTGTTTTCCTGTTACTGCTTCTTATATTCTCTTAATCTCTTTTCTCTACTACAATATACGGGGGATAATGATCTCTACTCGTATCTTTATTTTTAGATTTCATTTTTAAAGTTTCCATTAAAATTAACCTGCTTAGGGCTGGTTCAACATTCACAAATCAATCAATGTGATACATCACATCGACAAAAGAAAAGATAAAAACCATATGATCCTGTCGATAGATGCAGAAAAAGCATTTGACAAAATACAACATCCCTTCTTAATAAAGACTCTAGAGAAAGTTGGGATAGAAGGAACTTACTTAAACATCATAAAAGCCATCTATGAAAAACCTTCAGCTAACATCATCCTCAACGAGGAAAAACTGAGAGCTTTCCCCCTGAGATCAGGAACATGACAGGGATGTCCACTCTCACCACTGCTGTTTAACATAGTGCTGGAAGTCCTAGCATCAGCCATCAGACAACTAAAGGAAATCAAAGGCATCAGAATTGGCAAAGAGGAAGTCAAACTTTCACTCTTCGCAGAAGACATGATACTCTATATAGAAAACCCAACAGACTCCACCAGAAACCTACTGGAACTGATCCAAGAATCCAGCCAAGTTGCAGGGTACAAAATCAACGTACAGAAATCGGTTGCATTTTTATACACCAACAATGAAGCAACAGAAAGAGAAATCAAGAAGCTGATCATTCACAACTGCACAAAAAAAACATAAAATACCTAGGAATAAACCTAACCAAGGATACAAGAGATCTGTATGATGAAAACTACAGAAAACTTATGAAGGAAATTGAAGAAGACATAAATAAATGGAATTACATTCCATGCTCATGGATAGGAAGAATAAATATAGTTAAAATGGCATTACTACCCAAAGCAATCTACACATTCAATGCAATTTCAATCAAAATTACACCAGCATACCTCTCAAAGCTAGAGCAAACTATCTTAAAGTTTGTATGGAACCACAAAAGGCCCCGAATAGCCAAAGTAATACTGACAAATAAAACCAAAACGGAAGGTATCACCATCCCAGAATTTAACCTCTACTACAAAGCTGTCATCATCAAGACAGTATGGTATTGGCACAAAAACAGACACATAGACCAATGGAACAGAATTGAGAACTCAGAAGTGGACCCAAAAGTATACAGCCAACTAATCTTTGACAAAGCAGGAAAGAATATCCAATGGAAAAAAGAGATGGTGTTGGGAGAACTGGACAGCAATATGCAGAAGAATGAAACTAGATCAATTTCTCACACCATGCACAAAAATAAACTCAAAATGGATAAAGGACCTCAATGTGAGACAGGAAACCATCAAAACCCTAGAAGAAAAAGCAGGAAACAACCTCTTTGACCTCCACCGCCGCAACCTCTTACTTGACACATCCCCCAAAGCAAGGGAATCAAGAGCAAAAATGAACTATTGGGACCTCTTCAAGATTAAAAGCTTCTGCATGGGAAAGGAAACAACCCACAAAACTAATAGGCAACCAACGGAATGGGAAAAGAGTTGCAAATGACATATCAGATAAAGGGTTGATATCCAGAATCTATAAGGAATTCACCAAACTCCACACCCGAAAAACAAACAACCCAATAAAGAAATGGGCAGAAGATATGAACAGACACTTCTCCAAAGAGGACATCCAGATGGCCAACAGACACATGAAACGATGCTCAGCATCCCTCATCAGGGAAATACAAATCAAAACGACACTGAGATACCACCTCACACCAGTCAGAGTGGCTAAAATGAGCAAATCAGAGAACACGAGATGCTGGTGAGGATATGGAGAAACCGGCACCCCCCTACCCTGTTGGTGAGAATGTAAACTGGTACAGCCCCTCTGGAAAACAGTGTGGAGGTTCCTCAAAAAATTAACAATAGAACTCCCCTATGACCCAGCAATAGCACTGCTAGGAATTTACCCAAGGGATATAGAAATGCTGAGGCATAGGGGCACATGTACCCCAATGTTCATAGCAGCACTCTCAACAATAGCCAAAACATGGAAAGAGCCTAAGTGTCCATCCACGGACGAATGGATCAAGAAGATGTGGTTTATCTATACCATGGAATACTACACGGCAATGAGAAAGAATGAAATCTGGCCATGTGTAGCAACATGGATGACCTTGAGGGTGTTATGCTTAGCGAAATAAGTCAGGCAGAGAAGGACAAATATCACATGTTTGCACGTATAGGAAGATTAGGAGGAACTTAACAGAGGACCATGGGGGAGAAGAAGGGGGGAAATAGTGGGGGAAAGGGGGAGAGGCAAACCATGAGAGACTCTTGAATGCTGACAAAAACTGAGGACTGAAGGATGTGGTTGGGGAAGGGGAGGATGGGCACGGAGAGGGGCACTTGTGGGGATGAGCACTGGGTGTTATATGGAAACTAACTTGACAATAAACTATTTGAAAAAAAAATTAACCTGCTTAGATGTAATTGCAGTGAATTTGATGGTTAAAATTACAATTTCACATATTTACCACGGGGATATATCTTTATTTTGCTTACTCTTACCCTTTGCCAGGGGTCCTTCTAAAAAATGTATGACAACTGAGCATTTTTTCATATATATTTCTCTTCATACACATTGAAAAGGAAGTATGTGGTAAGTTATTTGATACATTTTCTGGGTTTAATGGTGGTTGGGTTATCTAATTATTAGAGTATATTTTCATGGTATATGAAAATGAGCAAGCAGGAAAATTATTTTAGTTCCCATTCAATTCACTAATCTATACTTTCCCTTTCATATAAGTTCCAGGTTCCTTTAAAGCATAGTTTCAGGTAGTAGAAGGGACAAAAAGTAAGTCAGGTTGCATAAACAAACACAATGCCTACCAACCTGTAATAAACTGAAGGAAGAAATCACAAATTATCAGCAAGAAGCAGTTGGAACTAGGCTTGAGGTAAACAGACACACAAACAACATGTTAGCATAACATAAACAGTGTAAATTTGAACAGATGTCCCTTCTAGAGCAGCAGCAGGCAGATTAAACAAAATTGGCTTTGGATTAAATCCAAGGGAGAGGAAGAAACTATGAAGCCTGTAGAAGCGCAGTGTCCAGCAGCTCTTCTGTAGTAATCATACCTTAGCTGAGTAGAAAGAAGCAAACACCTGTTGCTTTAAAAAAAAAAAAAAAAACAAACCTCAAGATGATCAAATGAACTAAAAGTGTGGGTTTTTTTGAAAGACACAAGATCCAATAGGGTTTGTATTCCATAGTCTATATGAATAGAAAGATGTAGGTGAGTTGCTAATTTATCAGTCGTATCCATATATCATGACATTGATTAATGTGCTATTATTGTGTCATTAGCCAGACAATATTATGAGGAGGTCCCATAAATATGTATGTATCTCAGAAATAAACCTAGGAATTTAGATTAGTTTGATAACCATTTAATGTGGTTTTGTCCAGCCCAGTTATGGGTTTGGAGGCAACTCTAAAACACACACACACACACACACACACACACACACACACACAGAAAACGATTGTGTGCATATATATTAGCACTGACCATAGTTGTTGTAACACAATATAAATTATAGTTTCAAGAGATTAGTTTTCAAGCCTCATCTTTTTGCACTCTTCCCTCCAATACATGGAAGTCCCCTGAACACACTGTATTCTATCATATCCAGGCTTCATATTTTAAGCTGAATTGCCCATTTGTGGTAATTTATCTAACCTGCAAAATATGTATAATGTGCCTAACATATAGAGTTTTGTAAGGATTAATTGTAATAACATAAGTTTAAACAGAAAACTAGAAAATGCTGTAGAAATGGTTGTAATTATTTTCTAAATGTAAACATAAGAAACATGAAGATTTCAAGTATGTAGTATGTGTCTGTGAGCAAGACAATAAGTAGTTGCTTTTTCTTTCTGAACAATTGCAATGTGCCAGACACTTTGCTAAATTCTTTGCATACATTATCTCATTTAATTTTTACAACACCTCAATGAAGTAGGTACTATCACTATCTCATTTTACAAATGAAAAGATGGAATTTTTCAAAGACAAATAGTTAGAATAGGATAAATTCAAGGTCTTTTGAATCCAAAACCCATGCTACCCTCTCTTCCCTCTAAGTGAATAGATGATACCAAGATATAAGGTACTGTCCGTGCATGTCAGATACTTCCAACTGTGTTAAGGAAACTACAGGTAACCATAGATGAAACTCTTTACCTTTTCCCTTATGTGATCTATAAAAATAAAAAGTTATTTAATTTTCTGTTTTCTTGTAGAATTGTTAGTGACTTTTAAAACTCCCTACTCTTTATGTTTGGAGTATCTAACACAGTTGTTCTTTCTTAACCAGGGATGCATATCATTATTGTTTGGGTTACATTTTAAAAACACATATTTGAAAATTACCACCAGAAATTCTGATTTATTATTCTTGACTGAGAACCATTGTCCTATAAGAAATCAATATCATACACACCAACCTAATAAGTTAAAAAAGCAGGGATGGTAATGTTGTTTTAACTGATTCCTGACAGTAAAATAGCAACCAAACAAAAAAGGTAAGTAGGATCTGTGACTGAAAGACCTGAATTTTAGGCTTTTTTTTAACTGACAATAATATGTCTTTATTATGGATTAAGCAAGTATAAGAAAGAGCTACTTGTAATCTTTAAAACAATGTACTAAAAATAAGTTAATTTCAGAGTTTTATTTTATTGCACTAAAAGAACAGTAGGACAGTTATACAAGGTTTTCTCTCATTCAGTTTTGAAAATCTAAAGTACTTGCAAATTCTTAAGAATACCTTTGCCACCAGATTAGTACATTAAGCATAATAACCAATTTCTTAATAAGTAATGTCTTACAAATTAGAACACATTTAAAATAGCTTTAAATGCATTCTTTACAAGTAATTCAGCATATATTTTTATATCATATTCACTTATGCTTAAGAATTAAAGCAAGTATATTACTCTGATGGAAATAATGGGAAATCTCTCACTCACGCAATAAACAAGGATAATATTCAAGTTGAAGGGGAGAAAAATCCCAGTTTTCGCATTTTGTAAGTGCATCCAGATATAATCACATATATGATAAATTAAGAAACCCATGAAGTTCTCCACAAGTCAGATATATTTTCAGTTCATCAGAAGCACCTGATATCTACAGCTAATTTACAATTAGATGGCACTTCAACAAAACCAAAATGAGCCCTACAAGTTCCTATAAATGAAAGCTTCCAATGAACTAAGGATAGTCAATAATTAATTCAATCATTCAAGGGATTATGGCTGTTCCTTAAGGAGTGTAGGTTCAAACCTGTCAACACCAGAGGTAATCATTTAATATTAATTTATATGTAATTCCATTTAAATTCTTTATCCAAGTATAACATATGAAAACAGCCTTTCCACAAGCAAAAAATGTGGAAACATTTAAAAAATAAAGAATCATTTTTTTAAGTAACTGATCAGATTCCACGATTCCATAGGCTACTCTTAGAAACAGGATCTTGTTGGAGAGAATCCCTTCATTTGGTGTCTTTAAAAAAAGACAATTTGCACCAGCCTTCTTTCTGACAATACGCTAAAATGTCTGCATTCGTAATAGTTGTAGGGTCATTGAGTCCTGGTCCACTCATCACTGGCCTACTCATATACCTCCAAATATGATATGCCGAGAGGGGCATATTGAGACCCAGCATAAGCCATTTTGCTGCACAAAGAAACATGACACAGAAGAAAGCATGAATGAGGTACTGTGGAAGTACAAGAGGATTCAGGGTATTACACTGGTCTATGGGATTCTTGTAATCAGTCTTCAGTTCATCAAATGCTATAATGTGCCAGATGGCGCAGAAGATGAGCGCGACAGTGAGCAGCAGCACCAGCATGTAGCAGAAAGCTGCGAACGTGAACTTCATGGCCAGGAAGGCGGAGCAGGGAGCGGCACCGATGCCAGTGGAGAAAGGCGGCACAGGCAATTTTAGGCTTTTTGAGCAAAAGTATCTGATTGCTTTTTCTTTTGATTTGAAAAAAAAGAAAAGCATACAAGAATAAGATAAGTTTATGGAAATGGAGAAGAGAGAGATGGTTGTAGCTAGAAGTGAATGAAATAGATATACAGAAGGTCTCTTTGTAATAGAAGAGACACTGTGCTTACAGGCTAAAAATAAATAGATAGAGTGAAAGGCTAAAGAAATGGGCACACCCTTCTGCTGAGAGTAAGGTTTGGGAGGAAATTTAAATTGTGGAGAAAAAGGAAATACAATTGGAGTAGTTCAACAACAAGTACAGTGATCAAAGGTAATGATAAAGGTGAGATTGAATGCTATCATCTCATTATGGTACTACTCCACAGAGATTTCTTTCAACTTTTAATTATTCAGGTGTAACAGTAAATATGGCAGACAGTTCAATTAATCCAGGACTGGAAATTTTGAAGGACAAATGCAAAAGTAGGACAAGTGGCCAAGATAATTAAGGATGATAGTAAGAAAATGAAATAATGAGTCATGGTGGAATACACTGGCTAGAAAAGGAAACAAATTCATTAGGGGCTAACAAAGTGGGTGAAAATGAAGTACCTGGAACTGACGTATTCAATGAGGTCATAGAGTATATACAGTAAGGAAGAAGAGAGATAATGGTACTAAAAGAAGTCATAAAAAGTAGGTTATTCAATTTCAGTATTTCAGAAATGAAACAGTTATGAGTGATGGCAGGATTTATGATGGGGGGAACAGTGGCTAGAGTGGCAAGAAAAAAATGGTAGTTATTTATTGCACATGTAAATATAGATTCACCAAGCATGGTGGCATTAGGGTATAGAAGAAAACATAGGAGAACCAATACCTGTAATGAATATTAAGTAGTGACCAAGTTTTTAAAACATCACAAAGGAGAATAAAAGAAATATACAACTGAATTGCAGAGACATTAGAATGATATTTTAATATGAGAACAAAAAATTACAGTTGGAATGAAATATTGGTAATAAAAAGTATGTACTCCCACCTCATGATCTTGTGTACATGAAATAAGCAGCTTTAACAGAAGTACGAATTAAAATTCCTTTTTTAAAAAATTTATTTATTTTGAGAGAGAGATAAAGAAAGAATCCCAAGGGGGATCCATGCTCTGAGCACAGAGCCTGAAGGGGGGGCTCAGTCTTAGGAACCATGAGATCATAACGTGAGCCAAAGTAAAGAGTCAAACACTTCACTGACTGAGTCACCCAGGTGCCCCTGAAATTCTTAGTGGCAATATACACTTGAAAAGAAAAAGAAATGGGACAACTCAGGAGATTTAGAGAGGGGAATCTAGTGGGCATCCTCACCAAGAAACCACTGCTGAAATGAATGAACACCAATCACTTTGGGCCTTTGTGTTACTTCATTCTTAATATTCAAATCTAGAAAAGATTTGATTTGTCATATATATGAATTCCTCAATATATATGAATATATATCCTGACCTTGTCCATTTTAGATGCATCCATAGTTTTTTGGAATTCTATCCCCACATTAGTTGACCCTTAAACAGTGCCAAGTTTAGGGATGCCAACTACTCATGTAGTAAAAAATCTGATTATAACTTTTGACTCCCCAAAAACTTAACTACTAATAGCTTGCTGTTGCCTGGAATCCTTACCAATAACATAAAGAGTAAATTGATACATATTTTGTATGTTATATGTACTATATGCTATATTATTAAAACAAAATATGTAGGGGCGTCTGGATGGTTCAGTCGGTTGAGCCTCCGACTTCGGCTCAGGTCATGATCTCACGACTCGTGGGTTCGAACCCGGCATTGGGCTCTGTGCTGACAGCTAGCTCAGAGCTTGGAGCCTGTCTTGGGATTCTGTGTCTCCCTCTCTCTCTGACTCTCCCCTGCTGATGCTGTCTCTATCACACTCTCAAAAATAAAAAAAAAAAATAAGTGGGGGGGGCAAGATGGAGGAGAAGTAGGGAACTCCTTACATTTCACTCACCCCTAGATCTCACACGGAGAAGGCCTGAAGCTATAGGAACACTTACAGAATCCAAGAGTTTGGGAGGAAAAGGAGACAGAGTCCGCAGAGAGAACCTTCTAGCGTGAGTGACAACTGGAGAAGATAAAATCGGGCCAGGACCACAGACACAGGGGGTGGGATCCCCCACTGCGGGGAGTCTAGAGGTGAATGAGAGTGGCCGAAACTGCTCAAGACACTGTCCCTGTCGCTGGAGAAGAGAAAAACCTCCACTCAGGACACAGAGGGATCCAGTTTCTTGCTCTCCAGCTGACTCTAGGTGGGACGCACTCGTCCCAGGCAACCCCCGGGGAAACTGCTCCCTGCTCACCAGCTCCACTTAGAAGGGAAGCACGGCGGCAGAGCCTTTGTGCTTCTGGCTTGGCTGGATCCCTAGAGGGGAGGTGAAGGGCTTAAAACTGGGAGATTTGCCCACGAGTTCCTGTTACGGTCGATGGGACAAGAGGGACCCGGTTTCCTACTCTCCAGCTGACCCTAGGCAGGACGCACTCGTCCCAGGCAACCCCCAGATGAAACAGCTCCTATATCACCAAACCGATCTGGAGGAGACGGAGCAGCAGCTTCTGGCTCAATCCCCAAGGGGAAGGCAAGAGGCTTGGGATTGCACTGAGGGGATCGCCTGCGAGTTTGTGTTTCCAGCAGTTTAGTGGGGTGGGCAGACTGGGATCTGGAAACGAGGCCTGGCCTGGGATATAGAGCATGGCCCACATTGGCTGCGCCCCTGGCACAGGGAGTTTACACCCCTAAAAAGGTGAGTTGCAGAGCGTGGTTCAAGAAGGGACTGGAGAGCAGCAACTCTTCTCCCCACAACCTTCAAGGCAGGATACCTGTGGGACATGCTGGAACAAACCACGCCCATCCCTGCTAGAGAGCTGCCCTCTTCCTTTTACCAGAGCTGGGACAAGACCACATGGATGCACTTCCCTGATTAATTCTGGTCACTGGATTGCTTAAACAGTCACATTTAATCCATCCTCTAGATGTAAATTCTACACCTACCTACCTTTTCATCTCTTTCTCTCTGGAGTAATCAGACTATATAGTTTCTCTCGATAACACCATCGTCATTTCTTTCGCCTCCCCTCCAGCCATATTCCACTCTTTCGCTCTTTGAAAAAAGCTTCTTATTCCTTCTGCCTATTTATTTCATATCCAATTTCCCCTCACCCCGGCCCTGTCATTTCTCTCTTTCTCTATGCTCTTCAACCAGCACTGCATACACCCGGCTATTTATTTGTAGCTGGTAAATCTGGTTATATGCTTTAAACTGTTCTTTGTCTATTGGGTTTCTTCTTCTTTTCTATGTATTTTTATTTCTTATTATTCGCCTTCCTTCCTTCCTCTTTCCTTTTTAGTCTTCCCTTTTGGTTTGCGTGTTTTTCGGATTTGTCTGTGCATTTGTGTGCTTTTGTTCCCTGTGTGTTTCTCTGATTTCTTTTCCAGGACTACCTCAAGATACAAGCCAAAGTACACATGGTGGACAGTCCCAAATACCACTATGAGTAGGAAAATAAAATAACCAAGGTCTCAACCGGAGAGACCAAGAGAAACATTCAAAGAACGCTTTCTGAATGGATAAGCCCTGGACCTAAAGAGCCTTCTTGGGTACAGCAGCACTCACAGGTGCAGAGAGCATAACAAGTTTTTAAAGCTAACAAGACAGGGAAAGCTAACCAAAATGACAAAAGGAAAGAGCTCTCCTCCAAAGAAGTTCCAAGAAGAATTGACAGCTAAAGAACTGCTCAAAACAGATATAAGCAGCATAACTGAACAAGATTTTAGAACAATAATCATATAATTAATCGTTCGGTTTGAAAAAAGCAAGGAGGACATCAAAGAAACTATGGCTACAAACAACATGGAGCTTAAAAATAGGTATGATGAATTAAAAAATGCGATAAATGAGATAATAAACTGGAGGCGTCCAATGTACGGATAGAAGGGGCAGAAAGGAGAATAAGTGATTTAGAAGACACAATTATGGAAAAAGAAGAAACTGAGAAAAAAAGAGTTTAACTGATCCAGGAACTTGAAGGAAGAGTTCGAGAGCTCAGCGATACAATCAAAAGGAACAATATCCGTATCATAGGAATCCCAGAAGAGGAAGAGAGAGGGAAAGGTGTTGAAGGAGTCTTGGAACAAATTGTAGCAGAGAACTTCTCCAACCTGGGGAGGGAAGTAGACGTTGAAATTCAAGAGGCACAGAGAATTCCCCTCAGAATTAACTTGAATTGATCTTCTGCCAGACATATCATAGTGAAAATGGCAAAATATAAGGACAAAGACAGAATTCTGAAAGCATCTAGGGAGAAAAGAGCCTTAACATACAAAGAAAAACCTATCAGAGTGGTGACAGACCTATCTACTGAAACGTGGCAGGCCAGAAAGGAATGGTAGGAGATCTTCAATGTGATGAACAGAAAAAATATGCAGCCAAGAATCCTCTATCCAGCAAGCCTATCATTCAGAATAGAAGAAGAGATAAAAGTCTTTCCAAATAAACAATTGAAAGAATTTGTCACAACTAAACCAGCTCTACAAGAAATCCTGATGGGGATTCTCTGAGGGAAATGTTGCAGGGAACAAAAGATGCTAGAGAAACACCATAAGCATGAATCCCACAAATGACACAATTACTCTAAACCCATATATTTCAATAATAACACTGAATGTAAATGGACTAAATGCTCCAATCAAAAGACATAGGGTAGCAGAATGGATCAAAAGACAACATCCATCTATTTGCTGTCTACAAGAAACTCATTTTACACCTGAGGACACTTTCAGATTGAAAGTAAGGGGAAGGAGAAATATCTATCATGCGACTGGAAGACAAAGGAAAGCTGGAGTAACTGTACTTATATCAGACAAACTGAACTTTAAACATAG